ATCTACAACCATCTGATCATTGACAAATCTGACAAAAACAAGCAATGGGAAAAGGATTCCCTATTTAACAAATGGGGTTGGGAAAACTGGGTAGCCATATGCAGAAAGCTGAAACTGGATCCCTTCCTTATGCCTTATACAAAAATTAACTTAAGATGAATTAAAGATTCAAATGTAAGACCTAACAGCACAAAAACCCTAGAAGAAAACATAGGCAATACCATTCAGGACACAGGCCATGGGCAAGCACTTCATGACTAAAACACCAAAAGCAATGGCAACGAAAGCCAAAATTGACAAATAGGATCTAATTAAACTAAAGAGCTTCTGCACAGCAAAAGAAGCAATCATTAGAGTGAACCGGCAACCAACAGATTAGGAAAAAATTCTGCTATCTACCCATCTGACAAAGGCCTAATATCCAGAATCTACAAGGAACTTAAACAAATTTACAAGAAAAAAACCAAACAACTCCATCAAAAAGTGGCTGAAGGTTATGAACAGACACTTCTCAAAAGAAGACATTTATGCAGCCAACAAACATATGAAAAAAAGCTCATCATCACTGGTCATTAGAAAAATGCAAATCAAAGCCACATTGAGATACCATCTCACACAAGTTAGAATGGCGATCATTAAAAAATTAGGAGACAACAGATGCTAGAGAGGATGTGAAGAAATAGGAACACTTTTACACTGTGGAAGTGTAAATTAGTTGAACCATTGTGGAAGACAGTGTGGCAATTCCTCAAGGATCTAGAAATAGAAATACAATTTGACCCAGCAATCCCATTACTGGGATATACCCAAAGAATTATAAATCATTTTACTATAAAGACACATGCACATGTATGTTTATTGCAGTACTGTTCATAATAGCAAAGACTTGGAACTGACCTAAATGCCCATCAATGATAGACTGGATAAAGAAAACGTGGCACATATATACCATGGAATACTATGTAGCCATAAAGAAGGATGAGTTCATGTCCCTTGCAGGGACATGGAGGAAGCTGGAAACCATCATTCTCAGCAAACTAACACAAGAACAGAAAACCAAACACCACATGTTCTCACTCATAAGTGGGTGTTGAACAATGAGAACATGTGGACACGGTGGTGGAGGGGAACTGACAGGGGGTGGGGTTTATGGGAGGAATAGCAGGTGGTGGGGAGCTAGGGGAAAGATGGCATTAGGAGAAATACCTAATATTGATGATGGGGTGATGGATACAGCAAACCACCACAGCATGTGTATACCTATGTAACAGATCTACACATTCTGCACATGTACTGCAGAACTTAAAGTATAATTTTAAAAAAAGTATTGAGATCAAAGCTGTAATAAAACATCTCCCAGCAAAGAAAAGCCCAGGACCTGATGCTTTACTGCTTAGTTTTACAAAATATTAAAAATTTAACTAATACCAATCCTCTCATAGTCTTCCAAAAAATAGAGAAGGGAATAATTCCAAACTCATTCTGTGATGCCAGTATTACCCTGATACTAAAAGAAGACAAAGACACATTAAAAAGAAAACTACAGGCCCATATCCTTCGTAAAAATTGAGGCAAAAATCTTTAACAAAATGCATTCAAACCAAAGTCAACACATTCAAAATGTACTTCATCATGACCAAGTGGGATTCATCCCAGGGATGCAATGATGGTTGAAATATGCAAACCAATCAGTGTAAAACATCAATTCATTAAAATAAAGAACAAAAATCATATAATCATTTCAACTGATGCTAAAAAAGCATTTGATTAAATTCAATATCCCTCTGTAAAAAGAATCCTTAATAAACTGAATATAGAAGAAACATACCCAAAATAATAAAAGCCACATATGACAGACTCACAGCTAGTATTACACTAAATGGGGAGAAAATGAAAGTCTTTCCTCTAAGACCTTCCAGATCTTCCAGACAAGGGTGCCCAGTTTCCCCACTGTTATTCAACATAACACCGGAAGTCCTAGCTAGAACAATCAGAGAAGAGAAAGAAATAAAGGTCATCCAAGTTGGAAAAGAAGAAGTGAAACTCCTTGTTTTGCAGATGATTTGATTTTATATTCGGAAAAAACTAAGATTCCACCAAAAAACTATTAGAACTGATAAGTTAAGTAAAATTTCAGGATACAAAATCAACATCCAAAAATCAGTAGCATTTCTATATTCCAAGAGTGAACAATCTGAAAAAAAAAATCAAGAGAGTAATCTTATTTACAATAGCTACACATAAAAATAAGTACCTAAAACTCAATCAAAGAAGTAAAAGATCTCTCTAATAAAGAATATAAAACATTGATACAAGAAATTGATGAGGACACCAAAAACTGGAAGGATATTATATTCCGTATTCATCAATTGTAAGAATCAATAGTGTTAAAATGTCCACACTACTCAAAGCAATGTATAGATTTAATGCAGTCCTTATCAGAATACCAATGTCATTTTTCACAGAAATAGAAAACCTATCCTAAAATGTATACTGCCACAAAGACCCAGAATATCCAAAGTTATTCTGGGCAAAAGGAACAAAACTGGAAGAATCACATCACGTGACTTTATATCACAGAATTACAGTAAACAAATAGCGCAGTAGTCACATAAAAACACACATAGACCAGTGGAATGGAATGAGAAATTCAGAAAGGAATCTGTACATCTACAGTGAGTTTATTTTTGACCAAGGTGCCAAGAACATACATTGGAAAAAGGGCAGTTTCCTCAACAAATGGTGCAGGAAAAACTGGATATCCATATGCAGAAGAATAGAACTAGATTCCTGTCTTTCATCATATATAAAAATCAAATCAAAATGGATTTAACACTTAAATCTGAGACTCAAACTATTAAACTACTAAAGGAAAACACTGGGAAATTAGAATATTAGACTGGGCAATGATTTCTTGAGTAGCACCTCATTAGCACAGACAACCACAGGAAAAATGGACAAATGGGATTATATCAAGTTAAAAAGTTTTTGCACAATAAAGAAAACAATCAACAAAATAATGTAGAGACAACAAACAGAATTGGGAGAGAGTATTTTTAAACTATCCATCTGACAAGGGATTAATCAGTATTAATAAAATATACATGGAGCTCAAATGTATACTGCCTACATTGTGTCTGTGTGTCTGTTTTTATGTGTATACTCTACAGGAAAAAAATAATAATAATCTGATTTTAGAATGGACAAAACGTCGGAATACATATTTCTCAAAAGAAGACGTACAAATGGCAACCACATTGTATTAGTCAGGGCTCTCTAGAGGGACAGGACAAAATAGGATAGAAATATATATGAAAGGGAGTTAATTAAGGAGTACTGACTCACACCACCACAAGGTGAAGTCCTACAATAGGCCGTCTGTAAGATGAGGAGTAAAGAAGCCAGTGTGAGTCCCAAAACCTCAAAGGTAGGGAAGCCAATAGTGCAGGGGCTCTGTGGCCGAAGGCCTGAGAGCTCCTGGCAAACCACTGGTATAAGTCCAAGAGTCCAAAAGCTGAAGAACTAGGAGTCTGATTATCAAGGGAAGGAAGCATCCAGCAAAAGAGAAAGAGAAAGGCTGGAAGACTCATCCAGTCTAGTCCTTCCATGTTCCTCTGTCTGTTTTTATCCTAGTTTCACTGGCACTGATTAGATAGTGTCCACCCAGATTGAGGGTGAGTCTGCCTCTCCCAGTCCACTGACTCAAATGTTAATCTCCTTTGGCAACACCCTCACAGACACACCCAGGAACAAAATTTTGCATCCTGTAATCCAAGCAAGTTGACACTCAATACTAATCATCACACAGGTATATGAAAAAGTGTTTATTATCACTGGCCATCAGGAAAATGCAAATCAAAGTGACAATGAGATATCATCTCACTTCAGTTAAAATCGCTTTTATCGAAAAGACAGGCAATAAGAAATGCTGGTGAGGATATGAAGAAAAGGCAACCCTTATATACTGTTTGTGGGAATGTAAAATAGTATAACCACTAAGGAGAACAGTTTGGAGGTTACTCAAAAAACTAAAAAAAAAGAGATTAAACATAAGATTAAACTATTCCACCGTTAGGTATATACCCAAAAGAAAGGAATTCAGTATATTAAAGAGATATTTGCACTCCTGTGTTTACTGCAGCACTATTCGTGATAACCAAAATTTGGAAGCAACCCAAGTGTCTGTCAACAGATGAATGGATAAAGAAAAGGTGGTATATATACACAATGGAGTACTATTTAGCCATAAAAAAGAATGAGACATCATTTGCAACAACATGGATGTAACTGGAGGTCATTATGTTAAGCAAAAAAAGCCAGGCATAAAAAGACAAACTTCACATGTTCTCATTTGTGGGAGGTAACATTTGAAGCAATTGAAATCATGGAGCTAGAGAGTAGAAGGAAAATTACCAGAGGACAGGAGGAATAGTGGAGAGAATGGGGGAGAGAGAAGAAGAAATGATTAATGTGTACAAAAAACAGAAAGAATGAATAAGGTCTAGTAATTGATAGCTGAACAGGTGACCATATTCAACAATAATTTAATTTTACATTTTAAAATAACTAAAAGATTATCATTAGATTTTTAACACAAAAGATATTATATTGTATTCCTGCATTAAAGTACCTCATGCAACCCATAAGTATATACACCTACTATGTATCCACAAAAATTAAAAATATTTTTAAAAAGTATTAACCTCCTGAAGGAAATCATGTCTTATATTTAAAAATAAAAGATAGGACAGTTCTCTTAAAAAATAAAAGATAAGTGAACATGGGCACTCCAAAGTTTGATAATTTGCCAATGGTCACTTTTCCTTTTGATAATGTTTTTATTAACAGTATAGGTAGTGAGAGTTTAAAAAAATTGTTGGCAGCTAGAATAAAGAAAATCTGCACTGGAATTAGCTTCTGCAGTAGATTACATTACATAACTTTTACTTTACTTTTGTAGAGTTAAATGATTTACTGCTTTAGAATTGCTATAATTTTACCTCAAGGCTTTTCTTTATATGTTCAAGATGTATATTACAATTTTGCAGAATTTCAAGGACTCCTGCAGAGGTGGTTATTTGCAAAGCATTCAGTTTATTTTGTACTTTTGACATTATTTTTTTCCACATGGAAATCACTTGAGAGAAAAGTTTTGTTTCTGCTGGGAGTTGCCTTTAGAAACAAAATTAGATGTAATTTTATTTTTTGAAGACACTATAATTTTAAAATCTATAATGTAAATGCATTGTCATGAAATACTATTTGAGTTGTAAAACATTTGATGTTAAATTTTCTTGATAAATCATCAGTTAAAGATACTTTTTAAGTGCCTATTATGTACAAGTGATGCACATGGTAAGAAATAGATAAATTAGACACAACAACCATCATTTAACAAGATTATACTTAGTGTACGGTGGAAGACAGTATATACAAGTTCTACACAAAGTAAGGAGAAATAATTTGTGTCCTAAGAAATTAATAAAACAAAGGGCTACTGGAGTTCTAGAGCGGAAATGGGATCTGTCAAGAGCTTCTTGGAGAAGAGGCCATTTAATCTGTGTTCTAAAGGAGGAGTAGAGTTTTGATGTGAAGAGAAGGCAGAGAGGGTATTCAACTTAGAAGCAAGATTATAGAGGTATGTATAAAAACACTGAATTTCTATTAATGGTTACCTCATCTTAGAGGATAAAAAAATGTAAGGTCCATGTCAGACTTGGTAAAGAAATTTTCCCTTACAAAATATTATCATTATTTTCTCCCTTTGGAAATGGGAAGCAAAATCCACAGGTGATGTGATAAGCCATTAATGTATTAATTTTAGTTTTGTTTTTGCTGTTGTTGGAATTGAATCAGGGAAATATTTTCTAAAATTATATAGTTGAATTGTTTCACTTTCTCTGCTCAACTATATTTCCCACCCCGCTTCCACCCTAGCCTCAACCTGATTCAAGCTCCTCTTTCAGCTTCCCGAGTAGCTGGGATTACAAATGCCCACTACCAGGCCCACCTAATTTTTGTATTTTTAGTAGAGACAGGGTTTCTCCAAGTTGGCCAGGCTGGTCTTGAACTCCTGACCTCAAGTGATGCACCTGCCTTGGCATCCCTAAGTGCTAGGATTACAGGCATGAGTCACCATGCCAGCCAATAATGACGTATCTAACACTTCTTTCTTAGCTCTTTATATTTTTATACCAATAATCAAGAAATAAGGCTTATAAAAATTATGCTTATAATCATTTATGAAAGAAAAATAGTGATTCAGCAAACTATACTCCTATGTCTATAATTAGGATAGGATGGTTTGACTATTCATTGAAGAAATGACTTCTCAAGAATTAAAGAAAATAATGCATTTTAACCTGTATATGGTATATTCTAGGTATTTTACCTTTGTATTTCTGAAGAAAGAAAGATTGGTTCAAGATAAAGCCAATTTCTTTGGCAATTCATCCATTCCTCAAGGGTGTAAGAGAAGAGAGTCAAGTTTTGATCCCATTCATTCACAAGATCCTACAATGATAAAAAACACATACATACAAATCTAAATATATAAAATTATTCTATAAGAGTTACATAACAGAAACAGATCAGAGGTGATTATCAGTCACTGACATACAGAAAATAATTAATAGGTCACATAAATGAATGTAGATCAAATTATATTTAGTTTTAGGAGAGGCTTAAGATGTTTTGTTCATCCAATTTCTGTCATATTTACTATACAACATACAAATCTTTTTGTAAGAGATTTGAGTAACACACATATATATGTAGAAATTAACATGAATGTCTAGTGCTCAACACTTATTTTCTACTTCGTATCACAGAGGAAACATAACCAGGAATGTGATACACATATTATTTCAGTCCTTTCTTCAAGCATAATTTCACATATAGATACACACATAATATCCTTCATAATATATCTATCTATAAATATAAATAGAACCATATTATATACATTGTTTTACAACTTGCATTTTATAACAAATAATGTCTTCTAAAGAGGTTTCAAGTCAGTACTTGTACATTATCTTCCGTATTTTAATGATTTTCAGGATTATGCTATGTTTATTAAAATAATAGGAAAATGGTTAAAAATCAATTAATATTAAAAGGCTTATTTAGAAACCAGTGGATTTGCCCATCCTCTAACTCTGGCACCTCATGGAGAGCCATTTATAACTCATTTATATTTGACCCCTGGTACTTACCTCCATGCTTCTTACTTTTTAAATTTATTTTATATTTCAATAGATATTTATTAAGATATCACTGATACACAAGAAACGACACATATTTACAGTATACAATTTTGGCCAGGCACGGTGGCTCACACCTGTTAATCCTGTTAATCCCAGCTCTTTGGGAGGCCAAGGCAAGCGGATCACTTGAGGTCAAGAGTTTGAGACCAGCCTGACCAACATGGTGAAACCCCATCTCCACTAAAAATACGACAACAAAGCAAAAAATTACCCGGGTGTGGTGGCAGGGGCCTGTAATCTCAGATACTCAGGAGGCTGAGGCAGGAGAATTGCCTGAACTCAGGAGGTGGAGTCTGCAGTAGGTGGAGATTTTGCCACTGCACTCCAGCCTGGGTGACAAAGTGAGACTTCATCTCAAAAATAAACAAGTAAAAAAAGTATACAACTTTATAAATTTTAACATATTCTTCCACTTGTGAAATAATCACCACAATCAAAATAACAAACATATCCATTACCCTGAAAGTGTTCTTTGTGTCCTGTTATAATTCCTTCTTCCTATCTCTTTCTACCCCTACCCCCAGCCAACCACTGACCTACTTTCTGAAACTATAGAATAGTTTGTATATAAACGGAATCATACAATATGATTTTATATAAACGGAATCATACAATATGTATTCACTTTGATCTAACTTCTTTCACTTAGCATAATTATTTTGAGATTGATCCATTTTGTTACATATATCAATAGTTTGTTTTCCTTTTCTGTATAACTTTTAGGTTCAGTAGCATATATGTGCAGGTTATACAGGTAAATTGCATGTCACAGGGATTTGGCATACAGATTATTTTGTTACCCAGGTAATAACATAGTATACAATTGCTAGCTTTTTATCCTCATCCACCTCCCACCCTCCATCCTCCACCCTCAAATAGGCCCCAGTGTCTGTTGTTGCATTCTTTGACCTCCATTCCCATCCAAGATGCTGTAAAGAATATAATCTCATTCTTTTTTATGGCTGCATAGTATCCATTGGGGGTATATATACCACATTTTTTTTAATCCAGTCTACTGTTGATGGGCATTTAGGTTGATTCCATGTCTTTGCTATTGTGAATAGTGCTATAATGAACATAAGCATGCATGTGTCTTTATGATAGAACAATTTTATATTTCTTTGGGTATATATCCAATAATAGGATTGCTAAGTTGAATGCTAGTTCTGTTTCAAGTACTTTGAGGAATCACCATACTGCTTTCCACAAGGGCTAAAACTAATTTACATTCCCACCAGCAGTGTATAAGCATTCTCTTTTCTCTGCAACCTCACTGGCATCTGTTATTTTTTGACTTTTTAATAATAGCCATTTTGACTGGTATGAGATGGTTTCTTATTGTGGTTTTGATTTGTATTTCTCTCATGATTAGTGATGTTGAGAAATTTTTCATATGCTTTTGGCCACGTATATGTCTTCTTTTGAAAAGTGTCTGTCATATCCTTTACTCATTTTTTAATGGAATTGCTTTTTTTTTTTTTGGCCTGTAAATGTGTTTAAGTTCCTTATAGACTCTAGATATTACACCTTCATCAGATACATAGTTTGCAAAAATTTTCTTCCATGTTGTAGGTTGTCTGTTTACTCTGTTGATAGTTTCTTTTGCTGTTCAGAACCTCTCTAGTTTAATTAGGTCCCATTTGTTAATTTTTGTTTGTATTGCAATTGCTTCTGGTGACTTTGTCATGAAATCTTTGCCTTGGCCCTTGTCCAGAGTAGTATTTCCTAGGTTATTTTCCAGGGTTTTTACAGATTTAGGTTTTAAAGTTAAGTCTTTAATCCATGTTTAATTGATTTTTATATATGTTGAAAGGAAGGGTTCCAGTTTCAATCTTCTGCATATGGCTTGCCAGTGATTCCACTGAATATAACATTATTTCCCTATGGCTTGTCTTTGTCAACTTTGTCAAAGATCAGATGGTCACAGGTGTGTGGCTTTATTTCTCAGCTCTCTATTCTGTTCCACTGTTCTATGTGTCTGCTCTTGTACCAGTACCATGCTGTTTTGGTTACTGCAGCCTTGAATAATAGTTTGAAGTTAGGTGATGTGATGCAATGCCTCCAGCTTTGTTCTTTTTGCTTTAGTATTGACTTGGCTATTTGGGCTCTTTTTTGGTTCCATATGAATTTTAAAAGTTTTTTCTAATTCTGTGAAGAATGTCATTGGTAGCATAAGAAAGGAACTGAATTTGTAAAATGCTTTGGGCAGTATGGCCATTTTAGTAATATTGATTCTTCCTATCCATGAGCATGGAATGTTTTCCCTTTTGTTTGTGTCATCTCTGATTTCTTTGAGCAATGTTTTGTAATTCTTGTAAAGATGTTTTACTTCCCTAGTTTGCTGTATTCCTATTATCTTATTCTTTTTGCAGCTATTGTGAATGGAATTGCATTCTTGATTTGGCTCTCAGATTGGATGTTGTTGGTATATATAAATGCTACTGATTTTTGTACATTAATTTTGTATCCTAAAACTTTGCTTAAGTAGTTTATCAGATCTAAGAGCTTTTGTGCAGAAATTGTGGCATTTCCTAGGTATATAATCATATGGTCTACAGACAGACACAGTTTGACTTTCTTTCTTTCTATTTGAATGTCTTTTCTTTCTCTTCCCTAATTGCTCTGGCTAGAACTTCTAGCACTTATGTTGAATAGAAGTGATGAGAGACAGCATCTTTGTCTTCTTCTGGGCTTCAAGGGGAACGCTTTCTTTTGCTTATACAGTATGACGTATGATGTAGGCTGTGGGTTTATCATAGATGGCTCTTATTATTTTGAAATATGTTTCTTGAAAGCCTAGTTTGTTGAGGGTTTTTAACATAAAGGAATGTTAAATTTTACTGAAAGCTTTTTCTGCATCTATTGAGATAATCATGTGGTTTTTGTTTTCAGTTCTGTTTATGCAATGAATCATACTTATTCGTTTGTGTATGCTGAACCAACTTTGCATCCCAGGGATAAAGTCTGCTTCATCGGAGTGGCTTAAATTTTTTGATGTGCTGCTGGATTCGGTTTGCTAATATTTCTATGTCCATGTTCATCAAGAATATTGGCCTTAAGTTTTATTTTTTCATTGTGTTCTGCCAGGTCTTGGTATCAGGATGATTCTGGCCTCGTAGAATGAGTCAGGGAGAAGTCCCTCCTCCTCAACTTTTTGGAATCATTTCAGTAGGAACGGTACCAACTCCTTTATAGCTCTGTTAGAATTTAGCTGTAAATCCATCTAATTTTGAGATTTTTATTACAGATTCAATTTTGAAACCCATTACTGGTCTGTTCAGTGATTCAGTGTCTTCCTGGTTCAGTCTTTGGAGGTTGTATGCACCCAGAAATTCATCTCTTTCTTCTAGTGTTTCTAGTTTGTGTGTATAGAGGTGTTCATAGTAGTCTCTGAAGGCTTGTATTTCTGTCAGATCAGTGGTAATGTCCCCTTTGTCATTTATAATTGTGTTTATTTGGATCTTCTCTATTTTTTTCTTATTATTGTAGTTAGAAGTCTATCCATCTTAATTTTTTCAAATTACCAACTCCTTAACTCAGTCTTTTGGATGGCTTTCCACATCTCAATTTCCTTCAGTTCAGCTCTGATTTTGATTATTTTCTCCTCCTAGCTTTGAGGTTGGTTTGTTCTTGTTTCTCTAATTTCTCCAGTTGTGTGTTAGATTGTTAATTTGAGATCTTCCTTTTTCAAGTGGAAGTTTAGTGCTATAAACTTCCTTATTAACACTGCATTAGCTGTATCTCAGAGATTCTGTTGTATATTTTTTCACATTAGTTTCAAATAATTTCTTGATTTCTCTCTTAATTTCATTATTTACCCAGTAGCCATTCAGGAACAGGTTATTCAATTTCTATGTAATTGTATGGTTTTGAGCAATCTTCTTAGTATTGATTTCTATTTTTATTGCACTGTGGACTGACAGTGTGGTTGGTATGATTTAATTATTTTAAATTTGTAAAAACATACATTACTGTGGCAAGACTCCTGAGTGCTTATGAATTATGAGGTTTTCTGTTCTGACTCGTGGATATAGGCACTATTCCAAGCACTGTGTAAGTACCAGGCATTGTTTCCTCTAATTTTCTCAAGTAGTTGTTTCCCTGACATCTGGCAGTTTTCTCACATTCAACTGTCACTGATTAGGTCTGCTGAATGCTTGTGCAGGGACCTGCCACAAATCTATGAAGATCTCTGTCTCTTTAGCTCTGTCTTCCCTGGTAGTTTATCCTAAATGCTCTAGCCTCCATTGGTTCTCCAGACCGTCAAAGGCATCTCCTCGTAACAGGGAGTCTGCCAGGCTTTGCCTGTATTCCTCTCCATCTCCCCACTCCAAGTCTGGAAACATAAGGAAATAAGTTGATAGAATCATAAGGCTTATAGTGTTTGTTTCTCATCTCTGAGGGATCTGTGTCCTTCCTTGCCTGACACCCAGTGTCCCAAAAACCATGGTTCCATATATTTTGTCTGGACTGCTTTGGTTACTTCAGGCAAGCTGGTGCTGTGGTTTGAATGTCCCCTCCAAACTCCATATTAAGATTCAATTGACATTGTAACAGGGGTGACATGTGGCACATTTAAGAGGTTATTAGTTCAGGAGGGCTCTGCCCTAATTAATAGATTACCGCTATTATCATAAGGGTGATTAGTTATTGTGGGAATTTACTGCCTTTCTCTTTCCATTTTGTGCATCTTGTGCTTCACTTGCCTCTCTGCCTTCCATTATAGGATAATAATGCAGCACAAAGGCTCTTGCCAGATGCCAGCCCCATGCTCTTGGATTTCCCAGCCTCCAGACCATAAGCCAAATAAATTTCTTTTCTTTATAAATCATCCAGTATGTGGTATTGTTGAGGCAGTACTAAGTGGACTAAGACAGGTGGTAAATCTGGTCTCTATGCTCCATCTTGCTTGGAAGTAGGTGGGGTGTGTGTGTGTGTGTGTGTGTGTGTGTGTGTGTGTGTGTGTTTCTTTTGAGCTAAAATGTGCTTAATTTATCATTTATTAAATTCACTTTCCTTAATGAAGGCATTTAATGCTCTAAACATTCATTTTCATAGGGCTATAGCCAATTGTGACAGGTTTGAAATGTGATTTTCTCCTTGTTACTTACTTTCAAATTTAAAAAAATTAGATTACATTTCCTGTATATTCTGATGGTTACTTTAAAATTTCTATTGTTGTGGGTGTTTTGCCTTTCTTGATGCTTTTCTGCTGTTCATTTTTTTGTTGTACTACATTTGATTAAAGAATAAATTCCATTTGGTTTATTTTTTGTATAATTTTTTCCCCAAAGTTTTAATTAATTGACATTTTCCCTAAATATCACAAATAATGGGATATCCATTTGTTGTATATATACTTTCTCTCTCTCCTCCATCTATCTTATAGATGATGTACATATATGTGTGTGGGTATGATCGTGTTAATTTTGCTATTTACTATCTCTATATTATTACATGTCATGTTGAGTTTCTTGACACTTTAAAATAATTCTTAGGTATATTACTAAATGTAGGTTTGCACAGTGAGGGACTATTAGGGAACACTATACACTGGACTATCAGGGAACACTGTACATGCTTATAAGGTCATATTTTTCCATGACCTAAATTTATCCTTTATGCCAAAATTAAACTTTCTGACATTTCCTCATAAGCAATTAGTGTTTCCACAAAAAGTTATTTCTGGTATTCAAACTAGTAAATATTCAATGTAATTTTTATGTAAGTATAGAAATGATTTATTGAATTCAAAGGCAAATTGTAGAATCCAAAAGATTGAAATAATAAATAAAATTATAGAAAATGAGATGATGGTGTCTTCTAAATATACAATCATGTCATCTGCAAATAGAAACAATTTAACCTCCTCTTTTCCTAACTGAATACTCTTTCTTTCTTTTTCTTGCCTGATTGCTCTAGCTAGAACTTCCAATACTATGCTGAATTGGAATGGTGAGAGAGGGCACCCTTGTCTAGTGCCAGTTTTTCGAGGAAATGCTTTCAGTTTTTGCCCATTTAGTATGATATTGGCAGTGAGTTTGTCATAAATGGCTTTTATTATTTTGAGATATGTTTCATCAATACCTAGTTTATTAACAGTTTTCAGCATAAAAGGCTGAAATTTTGTCAAAGTCCTTTTCTGCATCTGTTAAAATAATCATGTTGTTTTTGTCCTTGGTTCTCTTTATGTGATGGATTACATTTATAGATTTGCATATATTGAATCAGCCTTGCATGCCTGGAATGAACCCTACTTGATTGTGATGGATAAGCTTTTTGATGTGCTGTTGCATTCAGTTTGCCAGTATTTTATGGAAGATTTTTGCATCAAAATCTCCTTAAGATGATATGCAACTTCAGCAAAGTCTCAGGATACAAAATCAATGTGGAAAAATCACAAGCATTCCAAAACACCAATAATAGACAAAGAGAGAGCCAAATCATGAGTGAACTCCCACCCACAATTGCTACAAGGAGAATAAAATACCTAGGAATACACCTAAAAAAGGACGTGAAGGACCACAAGGACAACTATAAACCGTGGCTCAAGGAAATAAGAGAGGACACAAACAGATGGAAAAACATTCCATGCTCATGGTTAGGAAGAATCAATATCATAAAAATGGCCATACTGCCCAAAGTAATTTATAGATTCAATGATATCCCCATCAAACTACCACTGACCTTCTTCACAGAACTGGAAAAGACAACTTTAAACTTCATATGGAACCAAAAAATAGCCTGCATAGCCAAGACAATCCTAAGCAAAAAGAACAAATCTGGAGGCATCATGCTACCTGACTTCAAACTATAACACAAGGCTACAGTAATCAAAACAGCATGGTACTGGTACCAAAACAGAGATATAGACCAATGGAACAGAACAGAGGCCTCAGAAGTAACGCCACACATCTATAACCATCTGATCTTTGACAAACCTGACAAAGACAAGCAATGGGAAAAGGATTCCGTATTAATAAATGCTGTTGGAAAAACTGGCTAGCCATGTGCAGAAAGCAGAAACTGGACTCCTTCCTTGCACCTTATACAAAAATTAACTCAAGATAGATTAAAGATTTAAACACAAAATCCTAACACCATAAAAACCCTAGAAGAAAACCTAGGCAATACCATTCAGGACATAGGCATAGGCAAGGACTTCATGACTAAAACACCAAAAGCAATGGCAACAAAAGCCAAAACAGACAAATGGGATCTAATTAAATTTCAGTTTCTGCACAGCAAATAAACAATCATTAGAGTGAACCAGCAACCAACAGAATGGGAAAAATTTTTTTGCAAGCTACCCATCTGACAAAGGGCTAATATCTAGAACCTACAAAGAATGAAAACAAATATACAAGAAAAAAACAAACCCATCCCAAAGTGGGCGAAGGATATGAACAGGCACTTTTCAAAAGAAGACATACATGAGACCAACAAACATAAGAAAAAATGGTCATCATCACTGATTATTAGAGAAATGCAAATCAAAACCACATTGAGATACCACCTCATGCCAGTTAGTATGGCGATCATCAAAAAATCTGGAGACAACACATGATAGAGAGGATGTGGAGAAATAGGAACACTTTTACACTGTTGGTGGGAGTGTAAATTAGTTCAACCATTGTGGAAGACAGTGTGGTGCTTCCTCAATGACCTAGAAATAGAAATTCTTTTCACCCAGCAATCCTGTTACTGGGTATATTCCCAAAGGATTATAAATCGTTCTGTTATAAAGACACATGCACTCGCATGTTCACTGCCGTACTGTTTACAATAGCAAAGACTTGGAACCAACCCAAATGACCATCAATGATAGACTGAATAAAGAAAATGTGGCACATTTTACATCATGGAATACTATGCAGCCATACAAAAGGATGAGTTCATGTTCTTTGCAGGGACATGGATCAATCTGGAAACCATCATTCCATCATTCTCAGCAGACTGACATAACAACAGAAAACCAAACACCACACGTTCTCACTTATAAGTGGGTATTGAACAATGAAAACACATGGACACAGGGAGGGGAACATCACACACTGGGGTCTGTTGGGGGTGGGGGGCTAGGGGAGGGATAGCAGGGCGTGGGGAGATTGCGCAGGGATAACATTAGGAGGAATACCTAATGTAGGTGGTGGGGGATGGAGGCAGCAAACCACCATGCCATGTGTATACCTACGTAACAATCCTGCAAGATCTGCACATGTACCCCAGAACTTAAAGTAAAAATAATTAAAAAAAAAAAAAAATGAAAACATTTTTCCTTTGCCATATTACCTTAATGGGCCCAATGTGGGGAGATCCTTTAATTGTTGCAAGTATGACTTGAGACTCTTCTAACTGAGCTGATATGTCATCTATAGATGGAATTATGAAGATAGAGTAAACCTCTGTGTGATGAAGAACTAAATGCAAAGGAGTAGTGCTCCAAAAATCAATAATCTTAAATAGTATTTTTTCAAGAGCCGCTTCATTAGTTGCTGAGGTTGATATATCTTTTATTTCATTTTCATATTGCAACATCTAAAATAAACAAATTATTCTTTAGTATCCAGTATAGCAAATAATTCCTGATATGTTTAAAATGGAAATTTTAAATGCACGTTTTTAAAGGCACATAAAAATATTGAAGATCTAATTCCAATTAGGTTTGTATCCTTAGCAGAGACTTCATGTCTATCCTTTATGACCTATCTTTTTGAACCTTAAAATCATCCTATTGACATTTTTTATAATCAGGGAATATTTCTAACTTTCCTGATTCTAGCCAGTTATAGAGTATATACCTTCTGTATATGTGTAGGTGGAATTATTTCCTTCAGCATTCTTTCCTCATCACTAATGCCAACTGCTTAATTATTTTGTGACATGCTTTTACTCTCTACAATATTCTTGGGATATTTTCATGTAAGAGAATGCAATTCTGATGGATCCAGATTTCCATGGCTTCCATTTCTTTGCCTCATTTCTTTGAGGATACGTGTTTCTTAAAATACATTAGTGGAATATACACAGACTTTTTTGCCATGTGCACTGACCTGCAATTCTTATAGGAAAAGATCCTGATATAAGATCTCCAGAGTCACTCACTATAATACAGATACTCAGAGATCTTCTCATCTACATATCTTAAAATTAACTAGTTGGACTTATTGTTTTATCCCTGGTAGGTAAGACTTTACCACCATTCTTATATGCCATCTCTATGGTGCTAAAGAATAATGCCCAATTCCTATGTTTTAGTAATGCAACTCAGCGGGGATTTGGAACAGATATGACTAGTTTTTATCATTTCTCTTATATGCTTGCCAAAGATGAATTATAAGGATGGTGGGATCAGTTACTGCTTATGGCATTAAGTAACAGCTTTGGGAAAGAAGCCTACCTTTTGACATAGATTATTTAGCCAAAGGCAGATAAGGAACTATAGAACCATCAAAGTTCTATGCTGAAGAAAGAAATTTGTGCCTAATGCTAACATTCTGAAATTGCTAAAAACTAAATCCAGACACTGATAATGCGTAAAGCAAAATTTCAGTGAAGTGAATTGAGCCTTGTCAAGTCTTTATGGTCAAAGTACGCGACCTGACTGACAAATGGTCAGATCTTACAACTTACTTGATAATAGCTGGGTGGTTTTAGCTGAGTCTTGATGCCTGTAATTAATCATCTAACTTTATTATAAAACATATGGCTTTCTAAAGTGAAAATTATCAACCATAAAATGATAATATTCATCATATGCATACCATTGAGCTCTTGCTCTTAATTTACTTCATGAAATGCTTTTCATGTTGTAGGTTTTTCAGAGCCTGCACAACATCTTGGACAAAATGGTTGTCATATAAATGCAAGCCATCATAATTTATTCATTTAATAGGACTTCTAATATGGCCTATCTTGGAAAGTCTTACAGCATAACCACTGTCTCTAGGTCAATCCTCTAAAACATAAGTTTTAATAAATGAAGGATGAGTTTCTGGGCCAAATCCTGTCCAGTTGGCTTCTACTTTATGCTAGATACGTTGTCAGATTTCTACAGGATGACCAAAATAATCCAGGAACTCTTAAAATTCACTTCGAATTACCAGGTGATTGCCTCCTTATCCCTTCTATTATAATTATCTTCAAGAAGAAGGGATTTCTCTAACTCCTCACTACAGTATTTCAAAGGCTGAAGACCTTGTTCACTTCTGTTCACACATCAAACCGTCCTAATTAGGACCCACTAAAAAATGCATGGGACTTCCTTTTTAAACTATCTACTCGTGTTAGACATGTAATAGCTCATTGGAACCCTTTGAGTTATTACAGGCCACCACACCCACATAGGCCACCAGCTTCTATACTATATACCTGTCTACCCTAACTTTTATGGCTTGCTGCTACATTTAGTCTGTACAATTATCACCCTTTATCTAACTTAACCAAGAGTAGCTCCAATAACCCAAGACTGGGAATGAAAATAGCACTAAAATTGTGCTGGATTTTATGCATGCTGATTTGAAATAAACTCATCTATTGGTATTTGTTCTTATGTTCTGACGTCATCTAGCTATCTTGCTGAATTCCTCTTGGGCATGTATATCAGTTGGGCATGTATATCAGTTGGGCATGTATAATGGTTAGGAGGCTCTAAGATGAGATATTTAGATACAATGAGGATTGTAACAGTAAGAGAAGGTTCAAGAATTATTTCATGATTTTTAGTGAAAACAATTGGAAAATGGAGCTACCTTCAACTGAGATGAAACATAGAGGAAGAGTAGAATTTAGGAGGTGAAGAATAAAAAGTGAATGTTTTTGACATGTTACTTTTGAGGCATTTCTTAGACATATAAGTGGAGATATGAATAGGAAATTGGATATGTGAATTTAGAGTTCCAGAGAAAGTTAAGATTAGGGCTGGCAACATAAAATAATCTAAATTTTAAAAACTAAAGTTGTTTTAAAAAATTCTTCTTTTTAAATTCTTTAAAAAGGTGTCCATGTTCCTCATTACAACAGATCATTTAGTAGAAAATTATAGGTATAAAATAGGGGGTTTGATTACATTATATATTGTCAGCCATGAAACATTAAATATAAATTAAGCCTACTGTAAGTTAGGAATGAAAATACAAAATTTTTTAATCTTGGAAAAAATATGTTTTTATAGTAAAACTCGCATGGAAAGTCAAATAGTTGTTTATTATGCATGGAAAGTCAAATAGTTGTTTATTTTAAATATAATGTCAAGTTATAGATATATGTTAAGGTAGGGCAATTCTTACATGCTCTTAATATATTTTCATTTAATAGATAATGGAATCCAGAAGTTTTGATATTTCTATTCCTATAAAAATATATTCTATATAAGTAGTACTGTTAACTAATGAAAGACTAATTTCATTTGTCATACATGAAAACCAGTATTACTGTTTTTTAATCACCCTAAACTATAATGGAATAATTAATAGCTTATCCAATATCTCCAATTAAACAATTTCCTATCAACTATGATTCTACAAATATACTCTTATTTTCCCAGACACTCTATAGACTTCATTTTCTAATTCCTATTCATTATAGACTTACTTCCCTATTTAAAATTGGCCCATCTGGTATTTCAATCTATTTTTTTAAAAGAATTTTTATTTACCTTGAGAGCTAGAAGATTCTCTATTTTACAGTTTTTATCAAGGGGAACTGACTTCCCAATAATCTCTTGGAGAGCTTCCCAATGCCTTGGCTTGAGACAGGGATTTCCCAGAGCTATAATGATAGGCAGCTCTCGTTTAAACTCTGTTATCACTTGCTTAAGATGTGTTAACATACTGTTTTTAGGCAAACCTATAAATAACAATGGGTCAGTAGGCTCACAATATGTTCACTGTATTTTTTAACCAAAAACAATTGAGAAAATAGTATTTTTTCTTTAATTTTGTTAATGTAATACTACTTTATCAGTTATTAAACTATATTATATAACAGTAAGCTTTATTAACATCACCCTTCCATGAGAATCAACTATGCATTAAATAAAGAAAAATAGTTATAAGGACTGGTGACTAAAACTCAACTATCACAACCAAATTATTTTAGACAATTTGATTTCAGGAGTGGCCAGCTACCACAAGTTTCCCAGATTTTTACTGACATGATAAATATACAGACAAATGGGTACACACACACATAGACACACATGTACATACCTCACAAAGATTCAGAAGACTGTAATAGATTCTGGGCATTCATTCATTCATTTCAGAGAAGAGGTCTTGCTATATTGCCCAGGTTGGTTTCAAACTCCTGGCCTCGAATGATCCACCCACCTCAGCCTCCCCAAGTTATATAAGAAACATAATGTCCTTACAGGAATGAGCCACTATACTCAGCTGGTTTGAGTTTTTAAAATTTGGGTAAGTATGGAAGAACATCAAGGGAAAAAATATACCATCAATATTATTTCATTAAAAAATACTTTAACACGAAAATGTAGGAAATGAAGGTGACAGCTTTGCCACAGACCAGCACTAGTCTTGTCTTCTCGTATGACAAACCACTAAAGTACAGGATTTAAAACCTATGGAGTGGAAGGTTCAACTGTTATAACCTTTTTACTCAACTTATAAAAGAAAGAGGAGGGGACCAAAGTTAGGGACTCAAGAGAACTGAAAACTGCACTCATACTCTCAAAAAAACAATTTGTATACATGGGGCTTTTTTTTTTTTTTAAATAAAGTTGTACTAAATAGTAATATGTTTTTAAGAACTGATTAAACAGAAGATCAAGAGCATAACTTTAGTTTTTGCCAGTCTAGACTTTGGCAAACACAAGATTTTATCTGGGGAACCATGGATAAAAGGTGTCATCTAGTTGTTACTTTACTGTCCTTGGAAGCATGTATATGACAAAACAGTGAGAGGGAATGCACACAAGGAGTGTTATGTTAAAGCCTTGAGAGTATGATTTGCCCCCCAATTGTCCTCTTTTCTAAACTTTTGTGGTATTGTTGTATTTCTTATATAATTTAAAAACAAGTGAAATAAAGTGTTTTTTTAGCTTTCCTGGCGAAGAAATTTTAGATTAAGGTATGTCTGAGTGATAGGGGAGGAGATTTTTTTAAAAAAGCAAGGAACCAACACAAATGCCCATCGATGATAGACTGGACAGGGAAAATGCGGCACATATACACCATGGAATATTATGCAGCCATCAAAAATGATGATTTTGTGTCCTTTGTAGGGACATGGATGAACCTGGAAAGCATCATTCTCAGCAAACTGACACAAGAGCAGAAGATCAAACACCGCATGTTCTCACTCATAGGCGGGTGTTCAACAATGAGAACACATAGACACAGGGAGGGGAGCACTACACACTTGGGTCTGTTGGGGGGAAATAGGGGACGGACAGTGGGGGATGGGGAGTTGGGGAGAGAGAGCATGGGGAGAAATGCCAGATATAGGTGTTGGGAAGGAAGGCAGCAAATCACACTGCCACGTATGTACCTATGCAACAATCTTGCATGTTCTTCACATGTACCCCAAAACCTAAAATGCAATAAAATAAATTTAAAAAAAAAAAGCAAAGATATTGTTTTGGCCAGGTGAAACAAAACTTCCCTTTTGGAAAGGATATGATCTTATAAAAATGCTCTCATAAAAACAGCATGTTTGCACTGGCAAGATTTCAAATTTGATGATTAAAATAAAATAAAACTCTAAAAACGACCCTTTCAGCTGTTTACCCAAAGATAGAGATTCTGCAGATGGGCCTTTATCATCAAAACATCTCTGACCAGTGCCCTAAAAGAGCCATAATTAGGGTGAGATAGTTGGGGTTCTATGCAGGGAACCAACTTTTAAAGGATATAAAAATTATTAATTACTTAATAAAATTCTTTTAACAGAAACTTAATCTTCTTGCTTCAGTAAAATTCCTATCTATACTCCCGTACTGTAGCTCTAGCCATAATGATCAATCCCTGAGAACAGGTAAAGAAACAAGCCAAGGACAATGTGCTTGGTGCCCAAAGGCTACTTGGTATATAAACCTAGGTGGGAAAATTTGAGAAACACATTTTTACCTTTTTCTAGTACCAAGATTATGTCCATCAGTTTTGAAACATTTCTCTGTACTGCTTCTCCATCAATACTTTGGAGAGAACTATTTGTCCATTCCCAAGAAGATTTCCTCCACTCGTCTTGTGCTTCCCATAATTTTTTTCTCAAAGTCAAGTCACATTCAATGTCAGAGATCTCTGAAAGCACAATCTGTGTAATTTCTTCCATATTAACAGAATGTATGTGAGATTGAGAATCACTGAAACAATCCTGATAGCTTGAATATGCTTTAGCTTTGTTAGTTAAAATTTCAGCTTCCCCTGAGAGAGTTTGGATCATTTCCATTGCTGTTGTCACTTGAATGCCAGCACATAACAGAAGAGGAGTTCTTATCTAAAAAATAAGAGTAAGACTTTCTAAAAGAAATCAGTATATCCAGAACGTACCTGTTTTATTGGCAGTGAAAGCCTTTTAGAATATTATCTAGGCTTTTACCTGATAAGTGAGTGAAACTGGAAATAGCATACCATTTGGCCCAGAAAAAGGTAAAGACTGGCCCAGAAAGATTTCAGGGGGTTTAGTCCTTTTTATGCCATGAGCCCATTCGGCAGTCTCTTGAAGCCTATGGTAAAAGTCACCAGCCATGTTGCTGTTTGTTGCCTACACTGATTCATAGTTAAGAAAATGCTATGTTCCAGTTAGAAATTAGTGAAAATAGAGATATAATTTTACTTCCCATTCAAGTTCACAAGTCACCAAAATTCTCTCTGTGAATCCCAGTTTAACTTATATTAAATTATTTAGCCAAAATTCCACTGAAAGCAAATACACAAATGCCTAGACTTACGAGACTAAGATCAAGTTTTTATTTTAAAATATCCAAAAAAAAACCTAAAAAACTTACTTTGGCTTTTAAATTGCTAACGTCAACACGTAGACCACTGATACATGCTTCCAAATTATCTCTGAATTTAGTCATAGCAGTGTTTTTATTTATTTTACTTAACTTCATAGATGATTTTAGTTGACTAAACTTAAGAAGAAGAACCTTGTATACGGCAATTTGCTCTTCTGAAATATGGATCTGGTAATGCTTTACGACAGAATATAGCTGAGAAATTGTTAAGTATTCTTTTTCTAATTTAGGTATTTTTGAGGAAATTGTATTCAAAAAAATGAAATGCTCCACAAATTCTTCTATTTCAGTGGGATCACATTCCAGCTGTTGCAATGATGATTCTACAACCTGAAATCATTAACATGTCAATTATAATTGTGTAATGACTTTTCACCATTTTGGAAGACTATTGCTTTTAATTTCTCTGACTTATGTAAGTCTAATTTCAGAAAATAATTAAAACATCAGGTATTATTCTGTTCTCACACTGCTATAAAGAACTACTTGAGACTGGGTAATTTATGAAGAAAAGAGGTTTAATTGACTCACAGTTCTGTAGGCTGTACTGGATGCATGGCTGGGAGGCCTTAGAAAACCTACTGCAAGCATGGCAGAAGGTGAAAGGGAAACAAGCACGGCTTACCAAGGCAGAGCAGGAGAGACAGAGAGAGGGGAATGCTACACCCTTTCAAACAACCAGATCTCCTGAGAACTCTATAACGAGAACCACAAGGGGGAAGTCCACCCCATGATTCAGTCACCTCTGGCCCCTCCTTCAACATACGGAGATTACAATCCAACGTGAGATTTGGTTGGGGACACAGAGCCAAACCATATCACATAATACAGACATAATTCTAAGCATTATTTAAATACTGAGGCATTAACATGACCAAATCCTTCTATTGTTAACAAAAGGCACATGAATGTATCTCACATATTAAAAAATGCTATTAAGACATAATATAAGTAAACTGTGAATTGTGAATAACAATTTTCAAGAAATAAGTGTAATATAAATGGCAAAATTATGATTGAAATATGAACAGTGCATAAAAATTGCTACAACCTTTTGAGCATGTATATGATAGGTTCTTTTGGTACATGATCACACTTTATTCAGATAGTATATTTGCTAATAAGGTATTTTTTCTAAATTGCACAGAAGGAAACTGAGCCTCAGAGGAATTTATTATACCAAGATTAGAAATGTAGTAAGTTACAGAGCTGTGATTTAAATCCAAATTGATTCCAAATCCTATTCTTTTCCACCATATTTATACCTATTATTTTATAACCTCCATGCTTTTTAAAAGTATATATATATTACTCCATTAAAAAGTTTGAAGTAATTGCATTTTTGTACTGGAACTATAATTTTTTCACATTTTTTCTTCATGTTTCAAGGGCTCTTAAGCAGTATGCCTGCATAATTTTATGTAATTTTAAAATGAAAGTCAGTTTAGTTTTTAATCTTTACAGCCTTGAATTTCATATATATGTGTCTAATTTTTCAAGCACATTAGTCTATTTGATATTAAAATAAATGTTCACGCAAAAATCACAATACAAAAAAAAGTTTATAAGATGGAAAAAAGTTTATAAGATGGTCAACTATTTTTCCATTACCCAGAGATTACCATTGTTAATCCATCAGAAATTTTATTATGGGGTATGTGTGTGTCTCTTTTGCCACAGAGTTCATATTAAAAGGCCTTAAAGTCAGAGCAGCTTATCTCTGATCCCAGCTTCAGTATTTACTAACTGTGTAACCCTCAGCAAATATCTTTACTCTCATAAACTTATTATCCTCATCTGTACTTTGGAGGACAAATAAAATAATTTAGTAATGGACTTACAATGTGCCTGGCACATAGAAAGTGCACCAAGAATAATTGTGTCAGTAGACTGAGTAGACATAACTATTTAGACTCCAATACAAATACTGAATAAATGCCAAACACATTTTAAAATACATATTTGTATTACAAACAACCAAATAATTTCAATCTCACACAAACCAAGATAATATAAAAAGGTATAATATACCCAAACTTCATTTATGACACAAATAACATATTGATACCAAAACCAGATAAGGATAGCAAAAGAAAATTACAGATCATTTTCACTTATAAATACAAAAATCTTAAAAATAATATGTATGCTTGTGTATGCACATGCTGGCAAGCTAAATCTACCAATTTGGATGTGAAATTACCCGTAGAAAGTCAATTAATGTAACTCTTCACATAAAAAGATTAAAGGAAAACAACTGCAAGATTATCTCAATAAATGTAATGAATAAATCTTTGATAAAATATTTATAATAAAAACTCTTTTCAAACTAAAAATAGAAAGTATTTTCTTTAACCATATGAAAACCCTCAGGAAATATAAATACACATAGGACAAGCAGCAGCCAGAAAGAGGATGACTAAACAGAATTTTCAGAACAGAGTCTTTGAAAAATAGCTCAGCAATAACTTTCCAGAACCAAAACTTATGATTTTTCTAACTATAGAAATTTGGTTCATAGTGTTACTATGGGTCAGGAACTGTTTAAGTGGTTTGCAGATAATAATAGGGAGCCAGATGGTAGAATAGGACTCTTCAGCAATCATATACCTGTAGAAACAACCATTACAACAACTAGCCACATATAAAAGTACCTTCACAAGTGCTAAGGAAATCAAGTGAGAGATCACAATATCTGCACATAGCATAGAAATAAGAAAAGACACACTGAAGACAGTAGGAAGAACAATTTTATTCCAATACCAAGGCCACCACAGTAAAGCCCAGCACAAGGCAGGGACCTACAACCCAACTCCAAGCTGGTACTCACAGACTGAACCTCCAGACCCACCCTGGCACGAGACCAGGCCCCAAAGTCCCAGGCTTTGAGGCCTACATGTTAGACTCAATCTCTGGTTCTCCCCACTACCATGCCAACTTCAGTGGCCTTGGGTTCCAGACAGCCCTCAGTGGAAGACTAAGCCCCTTGACCCCAGGCTTTAAGCCCACCTAGCACCACACTACCATCAGTAGTCACAAGCATTAGGCTGACCCCCAGGGATACAGGCTCAAGGCCCACCCAGCAGACAATCAACAGGTTCACCCAAGTAGATCCAGGCTCTAGACCTTCCTATCTGTTGATCCAGGCAGCAGACCAGCCAGCCTAAGTACTCCAGCAGAAGCTGGCCCATGAACTATGCCAGATGGCCTGCCCAGAATCGATGGACAGGCTGACTAGTGAAAGGCTTTCCCAGACAAAGCCAGTGTGCAAAGTATGTAATTAATAATTACCTACTTCTTCAAATGTACAGACACCAAAGCATGGCCACCAGGATAAAAAAAAAAATAATTAGGAAAACATTACATCACCAAAGAAACAAAATAAAGCACCCATCCCCGATTCTAAATAAATAGAGTTGTATGAACTGACAGAAATAATTCACAATAACTTTTTGTTTTTTTGGATGCAGGGTCTCACTATGTTGCCTCTGAACTCCTGGACGCAATACTAACACTTAGTTTCCTGAGTAGCTGGGACTACAGGTACACACCACCACACCCAGGTTCAAAATAACTATTTTAAGGAAGCTTTGCAAACTTCATAAGAATACACAGGAACAACTCAACAACATATGGAAAACAATAAATGACAAAATTGAGAAATGTAACAAAGAGATTAAAACAATTTTTAAGAATTTGGAGGGAGTGGCCAAGATGGCTGACTAGAAGCAGCTAGGGTGTGTGGCTCTCACAAAGAGGTATGAAAAGGGTGAGTAAATACAATACCTTCAACTTAGACATCCAGGTACTTGCATTGGGACTAAAGGAAACAAAAACCACAAATAATGGCGAAAAGCAAGGTGGGACAATGGCCCACCCAGGAGTGACACAGAACCAAGTAAACCTCCCCTGTCCAGGGAAGTGGTGAGTGAATGTATGACCACAGGAAACCACCGATCTCAGGTCAGGAGATCCCCTCATGAACCCACTTCACCAGGGCCCTCAGTCTGACACACAGAGCTACATGGAGTCTTGGCAGAGTAGTCACTCAGGTACGCACAGAAAACCAAGAACTTTAGATATTCCAGCTCCAGGCTTTCCAACAAAAGTAACTGCAACTCCGGCAAAGTGGGAGATTAGACTCCCATACATACCCCTAGGAAAGAGGCTGAATCCATGGGGCCAAGCAGCGATAGTCTTAGAGTCCTACTTTCACAGTGCCTCACAGGATAAGACCCACTGGCTTGGAATTCCAGCCAGCTACAGGTAGCAGGGCTGCACCTCAGACGAAGCTCTTGGAAGGAGGGGCAGGCCACTGTGTTTGCTGTTTAGGCAACTTAGCCATTCCAGCCTGCATTCCAAACTGACTGGAGGTGGAAGGGATCCCCCAGCACAGCACAGCTATCCTACCAAAGGGTGGCCAGACTGCCTCTTTAAGCAGGTCCCTTATCTGCTGCCCCTCATTTGGCGGGACCTCTAAACTGGGGCCTCCAGCCACCCTGCTGGTGTTTTCCAGCTGATAGATATTCAAAAACTCCCTGGGAGAGAGCTCCCAAAGGTAGGAGTGGGTCGCTATCTTTGCTGTTTGGGCCACTTAGCCATTCCAGCCTATAGGTTTTGGAGAGCCCAAGACAACTGGGGGCAGAAGTGGTACCACAGCACTGCACAGCTGCTCTACAAAAGCATAACCAGACTGCTTCTTTAAGTAGGCCCCTTATGTGTTCCTCTTCACTGGGTGAACTCTCCAAACTAGGTTCTCCAGCCAACCCCACCAGTGTTCTCCAGGAGACAGAAATTTAAAAACTTTTCTGAGACAGAGCTCCCAGAGGGAGGGGCAGGCCACCATCTTTGCTGTTTGGGTGACTTAGCCATTCCACCCTCTGTGTTCTGGAGAGCCCAAGCCGACCAGGGGCAGAAGCAGTACCCTAGCACAACACATTTGCTTTATGAAACCATGGCCAGACTGCTTCTTTCATTGGGTCCCCAATCCTGTTGTCACTGGGTGGAACCTCCAACAAGGGCCTCTATCCATTCCCACCAGTGTTATCTGGCCTACAAAGATTTGAAAACTCCCTGGGATGGAACTCCCAGAGGGAGGGGCAGGCTGCCATCTTTGCTGTTTGGGCAATTTAGAAGTACTAGCCTTCAGGCTTTAGAGAGCCCAAGGTGACTGGGGATAAAAGTCGTACCCTAGCATAGCACAACAGCCACAGAAAATTGTGACCAGACTGCTTTTTTAAGCAGGTCCCTAACCCCTTTCCTCTTCATACTGTGGCACCTCCCAAGTGGGGTCTCTGGCTACCTTCACCAGTATTCTCTGGCTGATAAGG